GAAGATAAATTATCAAGTGTGGGCAAGAGCACGAATCATCTTGTGCAAATGCATATCCAACAACCAACAATAAAAGCCCTGATGTCATCAATATATTTTTAAAAGCCTTTTTAAATGTTTTCAATTCTTGTTGTTTAGAAAAATTTATAAAAAATTATTGGTCTTGACCATTGGAGGTCAGACTATTGAAACCCAACTTTTTTATTTTTTATTTTTTATAATATTTAATTTTTTTTTTATATAATTATAAATGTGGTAACCTTTTTAAATGTTTTTAATTCGTAAAAAAATTATAAAAAATTACTGGTCATGACTGTTGGAGGTCAGACCATTGAAACCCATCCTCTTAAAATAAATAAATAAATAAATGTGGTCACCTTTTTAAATGTTTTCAAGTGTTGTTTAAATAAAATTATAAAAAATTATTGGTCATGGAATATTGTCTCTAGTAGTTTAATTAAATTAAACAATCCAAAGTTGTGGAATGAATAAGTGTTGTACCATAGTTTTTCTCAAAATAATAAAATATGAAAGACCCTAAAATATAGCTTTGCATGGCCGGAGATGGAAAAATTGAGCCCTGCACTATTCTTTAAAAAATCGATATTTTGGAGGGCTAAATATTTAGCCCTGGACTATATTTAGCCCAATAACTGGAGATGGCCTAAGCAGAGGGTCCTAAATGTACATTTGCCTACATTATTAGAGAGATATGTTGTAATATTCTCATGATAAACTAAAGATAGCCTAGTAAAGGTGTTTTAAGTTAATTTTATCAAGTAGTGTGATTCTGATCTTATTCTTTCACATTATTCATGGGCTCTGCCGTTTGGAACTTTGAACGTTTCAGTGTGTAGCCAAAGGGGGATGCTTGGGAAGTTTTCAATGGACAAGTTAGAGAGGAATAAAAATATGTTAGTGGAATAAAAAAGTCACTAATATAACGAAATCTGAGGCCCCTCTGGCTCTGGCTCTCCTGAGCCCTGTGAGAAGAGAACCTTTGCTCTTATTGTTGCATTATTATTTTAAAATTGAACCTTTGAGTCTTGCAGAGGGACAAGGACAAGCACCCTTCTCAAACACACAAACAGAGATATGCATGAAGCATGGAAATGGAAGGGTGATTAGGCAGGCAGCACCTCCCCTCTTTATTTCTAATTGTAGGCGCTGTCTGGCTCTATGGCACTATGCACTCGTGACCCAATAATTCAAATTTTTACTGCTAATTAAGCTACATATATATTTACAATTATTTGTATGAAAATAATAAAGAATTGCTGCTTAATTAGTAATTATTTAAGCTATTAAGCTATATAGAGTATATGCTTTGCCTAGTCTATACGTCCATGAACTACCAATTTGATTTATTATAGTATATTTTCCTTGCCTAAACACGAATCTATTTATGCAGTGGCGGAGCCACGCAAGGACGAGAGGGGTCCCAAGCCCCTTCTCTCTCTCTTCCAAGCCATTTCACGCAGGGATGTGTGAAGGCTGTAAGTTAAAGCCTATTTCTTGATTTTTACTTTAGGCTATATTGGTTTAGGGGTCTGAAAATGATTTTCAAAAAGCTCTACAAAAACATGTAGTGTTTATGCTCCCATTCCCTTTATTTTCGTATTTTGCAGGAGGGGTAACCTCAATTACTGCTCTACCACTGTATCTATGTACAATCATATTCTGCAAAACCATGCATTTTCTCCATTTCACCCTTGAAATGGGAAGAAAGTTTGCATCAGCAATCAAAAAAAGAGAGCTGCATAAAAAGGGGTGCCTTGGAAACTAAGTGGAAAGCCACACTAAACATGCAGGTTTGTAACCCACCACCATCCTGGTTCCATGCATATTTTCATATGAGAGAGAGAGTGAGATATAAATATATATAAATTTATATCAGAGAGATTTGAAATGTGAGATTCAGAGTGGAGGACAAAGGTTATATTGTCACCTTTTCCATGTTGTATATGGGAAATATTATTGTTTTATCAGCCTTTTGATGTTTTCAATCTGAATTTGGTTTTATATGTCTTGTCAACATGTTCGTGTCTGCTTCCAATTCGTCGACTGGTTAAAAGACAAATTGAAAGGACCTAAAACTCTTGGCTGCACCGAAGAACTTGAATTTCATTTAATTTCATTACTGAGTTATTACGTACGTTTCAATTTTGCCAATAAAAACAAACAAGTATATGGGGTCAAAAACCTGTGTGCACATTATATAATATGATCAGTCAAGATTCCATCTGTAAATCTCTTAATTTGAAGAGCATCTCAAAGTCTTAGAAGCTTCCAACAGCACAAATACATATCAAGTAGGGCAGGTCCTTAGCCTTTACAACCAAGATTGCTCATGCAACCAAAAGCTAACAGACAGTCTTTCTGCACTTGGATTCATTTTTCAAGTGGAAGTCAGCTCAGTGACAAGAAGAAACCTCTTGGCAGGACATAGATTTCCTCATCCACTACTCTCACTTGCTTTCATGCTTTGGTTATGATTATAAAGGCCAGGCCACAGGCTCTGAAAATTTCAAACCAATTTGATCTGGACTTGCAAAAGGGGTTAGTATTTGACATTTTTGAGTATGACTTTTGGGTGAAGTTATGGGTTCATTTGTAGAAAATGAGGGAATATTTTTGGAGCAAAACAAAGACAAGGGCAATAAACCAAACCATGAGACAAGTTTGCATAACACTCATCAACCCAAATTTTATGTGTAATCTCTAAAAATCAGATGGATATATGTTTTGTTTAGTTAAGCATTCGAAGTTGCAAATTTGGCAGCCTTTTTCAAATCAATCAAAGGAGGGAAAGATGCGAAGCCAATTATAGGGATGTAAAAGTAAAAGGGTCATGTCTCATGATAAAAGCAAAAAAACTTACCTATAACGGGGATATTACTGTTTTGATATTCCATGACAATAACACAATGACACGTAGAAAATTTATTCTACAGTTATTGCACAATGACGAGAGTTTCTCTCATAAAAAGTGGTTTGGACCTTTTTTTTTTTACCATGTCCAGTAACTCAACTCAATCAAACTTCAGTTTTTGTATAGATCTACCCGTGAACAACTATTTTTGTCTTGCTTGTTCGTCATCCTCTTGTCTTGTCTACGTTTTATGTTCCCTCTTGTTTTTCACACTTGTGTACAGAGTGGTTATACAGTTATTGGATATTAGTCAGTTCTGATATGATCTGTTTATTTTGCAGCCTATGTCTCCCTCTCTGTTGAAGTGATATTAGTGCAACTCCGGCGGAAGTGGCTAGTCCGAGCAAAAGGCCCGACCCCTAATTTCGTTTCCAGCAGTTAAGGCTTGTTGATAAGCGCTGGGTTCCATCAGCCTAAGCAACGCCAAAGGCAAGACTTGCTTGGGCTGTTGCATGACTTAATGCTCTTGCCTTTGGCTGTTGCATGACTTAATGCTGACGTTATTGTGACGTCAACAACTAATTTAAATACCAAAAAAATTATTATTTTTTAAAAAACCAAAAAATTCATATTTTTTTAAAAAAATTATTTTAAAATACATAGCCATATTCTTCACTTCTCACGCCAAAACTTTATACAAATTCATCTTCTCATATCTCATGTGAATAGTGGTTGCTATTGGCTTGCCATGACAATAGGTGGAAAACCAACAACAAAAAATTGCTTAAGCATGCACTATTCATGTGAATGGTAACAACATTTGCCTCCCTTTGCCTTTTGCCATGACAAGGGGTGGAAATGCTCTTAGTAAACACTTTAATCATTTGAGTAACAAACTCCTTACTCTATAACACTACGTAAGTAGGTTTGACGCGCAAAAGTTGTCTCGTGTTACTGCTTATGTCACTACGGGTTTACTTCATCCTTACTTCGAACAAATGTTATTTTGTAAGCCACTTATTATTGCAGCTCTTTTACTTTCATATTTTGTGAAGATACAAAAACACTTTCAAGTACCGAAACACATTACAATGCATAATTAGAATAAGAATATAGTCACTACATTATGGCAACACAGTTACTACATTTCTCTCAGTTCCCTTACCCTATTGGCAATGCTTGTATCTCTATCTTCAAAAAGAGCCCCCATCTCTTCTAAGGTCTTGCCTTTTGTCTCTGGCAAAAAGAAGTAAAAGAAGACCGTACCAACCACCATGATTCCCGCAAGCACAAAAAACATTCCACCAAATGTTATCTTATTAGAAATGGTTAGAAACGTCATTGACACCACCCCGCTCACCAACCGATTCATTGATATGGCCAGGCTCGAACCTTGGGCCCGTAATCTCATCGGGAAGATATCCGATGAGTAGACCCAAGTTATTGGGCCAAGCCCAATTGAAAAGAAAGAGACATCAGCGCAAACAGCCATGATACACAACGCAATGACCCACGTTGGCTTGGTACTCGAATGCTCGAGAAATTTTGACCCAAGGCCCATCCCAGCTAACCAAATCACCATCCCGGCACAGCCCAGTAGCAAAAGGGGCCGCCTCCCAAAGCGGTCCAAGTAGCTGGCCGAGAGGAACACAAAGGATGTCTTGGCAAGGCCCATAATCACATTGACATCGAAAAGCTGCTTTCTGCTATGAATTCCAGCAGCCTTGAACACTTCCGGACAGTAGTACACGATGGCGTCGTTTTCGGAAGCTTGCATGAAGAAGTTGATCCCAATGGCAACAATGAGCATCCGACGAATGGGCTTAGAAGGATGTACCAAAGTCCATCTTCATGGGCCGTTAATGGGCTTGTGCTATGGGGTAAAGCTAAAGCAGCCTTGCTAATCTCCTCGAGCCTCAATTGAGCTTCCTCTTCAGAAGCAGATGTTCTGATCAGCACCTGTTTTGCTTCACTTAATTTGCCTTTTATCACAAGCCAACGAGGGGACTCAGGCATGGCTATGACCCCCAACCCTATACTGACAGCTGGCACCGCGGCTAACCCTAGCATTAATCTCCAATTTATGTTTGGTGGCAGGCCAAACAAAGCATAATTAACTATGTAACCAACTAACAGGCCAAATGTGATGAACACCTCAGGGAGAGAAATGAGGAAGCCCCGGCTCATGGCGGGTGAGAGCTCTGCGGTGTAGACTGGGGCGATCATGAGGGCGTAGCCGACGCCAACGCCAGCCACGGCACGTCCGGCCAAGAGGAATAGGTAGGATGTGGCTAGGCTCATGAGGAGTGCACCTATTAGAAATGTGCATGCGACTAATACTATAGTGTAACGCCTACCTATATAATCAGATGTTTTCCCGGATGCTAGTGATCCAAATAAAGAGAACATGTTTAGGGTTCCTACCAAGATTTCCACTTGGGTTGATGTGATCTTGAGGTTCTCTTTGATGTAAAGCACTGCCCCGCTCATCACTCCAATATCTGCACAATTTCGTGCATTTTTTTGGGTGAAATTGTATAGAACTTGTTAAATTAATCCAAAACTACAAAATAAAAAACAAAAGATGAACTTACCATAACCCAACAGAATGGAGTTTGTGGAGGCTAGAAGAGCGCAGACGATGGTGTATTTGTTCATCCCAGTCCCAGCTTTTTCAGAATTGGCCTTGGGATTTTGGTGTTAAATTTCAGCCACATCCATTTTCCTCGGCTCCTTTTTTCTTCTTTTGAGAATTTGTAGATGAAAATCTGTGACTCACTGACTCACTAACTCACTGGGGGTTTTTGTGGGTGGGTGAGGAAGAAGCTAAGAGTAAATGGGTTTTGTTAGGTTGCAGAGGCGGACCATAATTGCATGAGGAATGAAGAACACGCTCTGCAACTGAAGCAATCACATTGTTTTGGTGGCATTTCTCTATTGCCATTTACTTTTGTTCTGTGGTTTCGGCCCAAAATCCAACCACAGACTTGTGCACCTGTCCATGCTACTTTCGAGTCTCCTGCTTGCTATAAATGCTAATGCTGTTGAGTCCTCTCATTCATTCAACTTCTTTTCTCGAGGAAATAAAGAAAATAATTTAATCTCGTTCCGAACATCATCTCGAATATCCAGTGTAATCTGATTCACTAATACCCCATCCCTTCTAAGGTTTTTTAGGTTTTAGACATAAAAAAAATTTCATTTTTGAAAAAAGCCAAAGTTTTTTCAAAAAAGACAAAAAAACCACTCAACTTTCAAATCAAAGACATGCAAATGTATTGGATTCCTTAGGAAATCTAAAAATAAATAAGGGCATTTTTGTCCATTTTTGCTTCTTTTAAAATTTTTCTCTCTCCTTTTGCTTTTTCCAAAATGTCCCTAAAATCTAAAATACAATCTCTTTAGCGTCACTCACCCTCAAATAGAACCCCAATTTCTTCTAAGCTCTTCCCTTTGGTTTCTGGCAAAAAGAAGTAAAAGAAAACTGTGCCCACCACCATTATTCCTGCAAGAGCAAAAAACATTCCTCCAAATGTTATCTCCCTAGAAATGCTTAGAAATGTCATGGCCACCAACCCACTCACCAATCTGTTCACCCCTATGGCCAAGCTTGAACCTTGAGCCCTCAGCCTCATTGGAAATATTTCTGACGAATATACCCATGTGATGGGCCCAAGCCCAATAGAGAAGAATGAAGCTGCAGAGCAAACAGCCACCACACACAACCCAATTGCCCAATCTGGCTTGTCACCTGAAAACTCAAGAAACTTTGAACCAAAGCCCAAAGCAGCCAATGAGATTGCCATGCCAATAGAGCCCAACAACAGAAGTGGCCGCCTTCCAAACCTGTCCAAGAACAGAGCTGATACCAGAACAAAGGAAGTCTTGGCTATGCCCATGAGGATTGTGACACCCACAAGATGTTTCTTGTTGTGAATTCCGGCCTCCCTGAAGACCTCCGGGCTGTAGTACACAACGGCGTCATTGCCGGAGGCCTGCATGAAGAAGTTGACGCCGATGGCAGCGATTAGAATGCGGCGGATGGGCCTTGTGGGCCTCAATAGTAACTCTCTCCAAACCCCTTGTCCATGCCAGTTGCTGCTTAATGAAGTGCCTGCTGCTGGGGTACTTGTGATCAACAATGAGGACGCAGCTTTTGCTATCTCTTTAAGTCTCAATTCAGCTTCCTCTTTGGTTTCAGATGTTCTCATCAAAACCTGCTTTGCTTCATCTAACCGGCCTTTCATGACCAACCACCTAGGCAAAAATATCAACAACTATATATTAAGTACATGTTATAAAAATTTGAGTGAAATATAGCAACAACAAAAAAAGGAACAAAATTTCAAACCATGCACCTACCTAGGTGACTCTGGCATTGCCAACACAGCCAATGCAACAGCAATAGCAGGGAATGCTGCAAGGCCAAGCATAAGTCTCCAGTTTATGTTTTGCGGCATGCCCGATAAAGCGTAGTTGGAGATGTAGCCAAGTAGAATTCCTCCATTGATGAACACCTCAGGGAGAGAGCTGAGGAAGCCCCGGGTGAGAGCCGGCGAGAGCTCAGCCACATAGACTGGGGCAATCATGAGAGAGTAGCCAACTCCAATCCCAGCCACAACCCTACCAGCTATGAGGAAAGGGAAGGATGGTGCCAGTCCCATTAGAAGTGCACCTATTAGAAATGTTGCTGCTGCCAGGACTATAGTGTAACGCCTGCCAATCCAATCTGAAGTCTTGCCTGAGGCAAGTGATCCAATCAAAGAACATACATTCAGAGAACCAACCAAGATTTCTACTTGGGTTGTTGAGATATTAAGGTCCTCCCTGATGAAAAGAGCAGCACCACTCATCACCCCAATATCTGCAAACAAATCAAGTCGTCCGTACTCATAAATTAAAACAAACACAAACCCTCTTCTGTTCTGTTCTGTTCTGTTCTTGATGAAATATTTTCCTTTATTTTATTATAATTTTCAATGAATTAATTTGGTTTGATAGAATCGTGTGTTTTGTGTGGACTTGATGGCTGAAAAATATTAAGGAAGGTACTGACCATAACCCAAGAGAACAGAGTTGGTGGAAGCCAACAAAGCACCAGCAAGAGCATATTTGTTGAGACAGGGCTGTGTAGCTTTGAGTTTTTCAGGTGGATGATCAGAAGCTCCGGTGGCCAGCACAGGCCATGTTGGTTGTCTTTTACTGTCACTTTTCAGTTGGGTATCTGCAGAAAATGGGGATTCAGATTCTGAATAAGCAGCAGCAAGTAAGTGATAATGGTGGTCCTCGTTGCTTGGCTCCATTAGCGTAGCAGGAGCGAGTGACGATCTCTGTGTTGGGAAGACAGTAAAATTGGAAAGGCTTCTTATGTATAGTAGACATAGAGAGAGAGAGAGAGAGAGAGATGTGCAAGTTTTGGAGGGGATGGATGTGCATCAGTTTTTGTATATATCATTTGCATGTATGGTAATTGAAGACAAGTATATCTTCTATATTTGCTGTAATGTAAACGGTGAATTAGTAATAAGAGAAATGGAATGGCTGGTGGAAGTGATTTTTAGTCTCATTTTCTCCATGCTCCTTCCTTTTTTCTCTCTAGATAGTTTTTAAAGATTAAATAAATGGAAGGAGAAGAATCAATGGTCCAAAAACAAGGGAATGAGTTCATAAGGAGAAAAATGAGAATTTGAAATTCACTAGCGTTATTAAGTGGCGGCGTTTACTTTTTGGAAAAGCTGCTTTTGTAAAGTTAGACAGGCCACGCTGCCTCCACACGCCTCCTCTGTCATATTCATATGCCTGCCAATATATATATGCCACAGGACTCATGAAGAGAGTTGGACCAAGCCAGCGCACGCAGCTACACAACAATACAACATGCATGTAGATATAGATCATTATCAATATCATGTATTGATTTGATCGGTAAATAATGGCCAACAAAATGTCCAGTACCATTATTATATATGTATCCCCATTTTGGCAGTGGGGTTGGGAGGATAGGGCACAATCTGATGGAGAAGTACTTTAATAAGTGACACGAGAGAGATAGGAACAATGCAACGGAATAGGGAAGTTTTTCTCCCGCTTATAAGCCCCCAACTTGGTTTGAATGAAAATTGAACAAGCTTCAGTTGAAGAAGACAGTTGTGATTAAGCAGCACTTGAAATGTGACAGAAGAATAATTGCTTAGATTTGAATCGCGAATTCTGATAGACCTCAAAGGAAGAAAAAGTGAAAAGCAAGCAAACCCCACAGTCCCACTCAATCATTAGCTAGCTAGCATGCTCATTTCAGTCGAGTTGTACCAGCAGAAGTCGATGGAGAGAGTGACTAATAACCAACAAATGACAGAAGACGAATGTTCCTCTATATTTCAAATAATATGCAGTGCAGCCTCTGTTGTTCTTGGAGGAGCAATATTCATTTGCAAATTGAAACACCAAAGAAAATGAAAAACTACAACTAAAAAACACCATTTTGCTTCCTTCTTGTCAGATTTGACTGACAGAGGACTGCTAGTGCACTGACTGACTGCCACCATGGATAGTTCAGTGGGCTCCACCTGCTCTGCTGTCATGCTAAAACGGCGCCATCTACACAACGTAATTTAGACCCATGCATTGCTAAGCGCATTTCCGTGGCAAACTTGAAAACCAGAAAGAAAGAACCAAATAACACCGCTACAACCACACCGTCAATCTCTCAACTTTGAAGCACAATAAGCTTTAACATTCTCCCATCCAAACTATATTCTAGTGTTTCTTCTTCTGCCAGTGCCACAGAATCAAATTTCCAAACATGGTATGCTGAACTTCTCCATCCCAAATTTCAGATATGAAAATTTTAAGTATCAATGATACAAAGTTTGAAACTTTTCGTTTGTTTTGATTTTACTCTGTTTTTGTTTTGGAACGGAACAGAGCAAAGGAACGGCAAGCTTCGGGAAGAGGAGGAACAAGACCCACACGCTGTGCGTGAGGTGCGGCCACCGTAGCTTCCACCTTCAGAAGAGCCGTTGCGCCTCCTGTGGCTTCCCTTCCAGCCGTATCAGAAAATGTCACCTTTCAAATTTTTAACTCTTGCTCTTGATTTCGCTTCCTTTATTTATTTTGTTCTTTGAGTTTGCCAATTGTTACTTATGTGGTGGGAAAAAATAAAACTAGATAACTGGAGCGTGAAGGCGATCCGAAGAAAGACAACAGGGACTGGTAGAATGAGGTACCTTCGCCACGTTGCTGTGAGATTCAAGTTTAACTTCAGAGAAGGTTCAACAATAACAAAGCTGATATATTTTTTCATCAGATCATCGATGCTATGATGCAAAATTTGATTTTGAAAAAATGGTTTTGTGCTGTGTGCATTGTTTGTGAACTTCGAGGTACCGAGGCAGGTCCAAGAAGGAAGAGAGCTTCGTCATCGTCTCAAGCTTCGAGCCTCTCAGTTTCCAGCTTCAAGCTTCAAGCTTCAAGCTTTGGGTTGGCTATGAATACTAATAAGACCAGTTTTGGCTTGTAGTTTAGTTTGTACTAGTAAGTAACATGTATGGAGTTCATTACAGACTTGGGCTTTTGTAAACTACTATATAAACAAACGACAATTCAATTCTCAAAATAATCTTTGCTTGGAGAAGAGCAGACCAGTCTGAGTTTGCTCTTTACATACAGTATTGGCCTGGTCAAACATTGCACAAGCTCAATCAGAGATTTTTCTTTTTTCTTTTTACGGTATTTACATATAAAGAATTAGAGCAATGAGACTGGGAGACAATTCTACAAACTCATCCCTGAGTTATCAATATATTCAGAAACCTGTGAAGCAAGTTGATAGGACCAGTTCACAGCAGTGCCAAAAAAGAGCTCCCAAAACCAGAGATCCAATGCAAGCACTGAGGAAAATATGAGCAACGCCAAAGTCTGGTAGCGGTTCAAAGGCCAACCTGATACTTCAGCCATTTTCTTCAGAAATGGAAGGGAACTGCTATTCAAATCCTGCTTTCTTATGGACCACGCAGATATCCACTGCGCCTGAGTAGGGATCAGCTCCAGCTCTTGTAATCGCCTCCCGAGATCCGGCATGTGACCCCCTCCGTATAGTATTGCAATCCTGTTATTTCCACCGTCAATTGCTTTTCTAAGTGCATCCATGGCGGCTCTGTTTCTCTCACCAATAATCACAGAGCTCTCTTCTACATCAGCCGTAGCCTGCGTGAATCTTAAACAAGTAAAATACTTTTATGTCAGTTTTGAGAATTTTGCACCAACCCACAATGTAAAACCATACGCTTTTGAGACGAAGAACCCAAATAATAATTAGTTTGAACAGCCATGCAATATGTTCAGCTGGAAGCAGTAAAGAAAAAGAGAAAAAACTTGGCAAATCCTTACTCGGATGTTAGCCTCTTTGCCAAGAAGACCTTCATTGCTGCACCAAAATCAAGCCTAGACAAGGCTTCAAATTCTGGAAATTCTGAGTCCTCACTGCCCGTGTCTGCACAGACACCTCCAATAATGAGAAGGCCGACAAGTGGCATAGGAAGCACGCGTGCAGCCCACTTAAGCTTAGATCTCCAAGGACCAAGGCCTTCTGGGATTGTAGCAGTTTGAATCATAGCTTTCGTGGATCTAACAGTCATGTCTCTTGCAAATGTGAAGAAGCTTTCACCTTTTTCTTGCTGAAAACAAATGACAATGGCATCAGATGCAACAATGATGTTATTCTCAAGCAATGATGGAAGATAAAAGAAGAGAGATAGAGGTTCTTCATATATACAGCCCCTGAAATCAAACTACCTATGCACTACACAAAAAGGAGAGAGAAAATAAAAACCTGAAGCAATTGGAAAGTCTCGAAGTCGAGGTCTGCATGGTACCAATTCTCAGACTCGTAATCAAGACAGTCTAATTGGAAATCAAGCGTCAGAAATCGAGCCATCTGTCTCTGAATGCATCCCAGAATGTTAAATCCTTTTGAGCGTGAACCTTTGACTTTGAGTCTTTTTGTGGCGGCAAGGATTCTTCTGTTCTCTAAACTCTCCCTGCTTGTTACCATCTCATAAAGGACACAATCATAGGACTCAAGTTCCTTTTGCAGGGTCTCAAAGTACCTGGACATGGTACTTGGGATTATTAACATTGTATAATCTGGGACAGCCAATTTTTGCACATATAGGTTAAGAAAACATCAAGTTATGACCACTGTCAAAAGTTACAGTAGACACCGACACAAAGCTCAAAGTGAAGCTGAAAAAGAAATATTCTGCAAATCCCTGATTCTGAAAATAAGTTTTGACAAATTCCATCTAAGTTAATTAAAGCGGTTTCCTAGCACCATTTCTTAAAGTCTCTTACACTCTTGGCATGCATAGGAGACTCATAATCAAAACTAGCCTTCACAGAGGTTTATCTTCATGGCATTTCCTTAGCACTTTATTGCCCGAGTACATTATTTTCCTTGAAAGCACATCTCAAACAAGCCATGAGAATAGAACTTAAATGAAAGTTACCCTTGAAAACTTCCATCTCTCAAACAACAAGCATTATATTTACTAAGCTCAAATTGCGCCCACTGGTTGAGCGACAGCAAGCTTTTAGCTTCTGAGTAGAGTAAACTATCAAACAGTTGCAATTACAAGTAGATAACTGCCAAAATACTGAAGAAGAAGAAATTGCAAGAATAAGAATGATTGTTAGGAAATACATACTCCTTATCCGCGATGTGAATTGTCGAAACCAAATCAACCTACAACAAACCCGGAAATTAGAAAGAAGACCCATGAAGAAACAAAAAGGACCCATGAAGAGAAGCCAATTCCATGCACAATACCTGAAGAAAAGGCCTCAAAAGCGACCAAGGGAACCTCTTTTTGTAGCTAACAACCGCAGTTTGCAACTCCCCAGTGCCTCCATCAACGCCCCTTTTGAACCTCATGAAATCCGCAATCGAATTGTTTCGTAAAAATTGCTCAGCCGAGCCATCCTCAATTGGGTTGATTGAAGAAGAACCAAAGACCTTGAAAGGAGCTAGCTTTGAGGCTTTGGGAAATTTAAGGCTTCGTGTGGATGATTCAAAGGGCCTGACTTTAAAACTTGTAGAAGTGGAAGAAGCATCGGTGTAAGCGTTGGAATTGGAGGGAAACGAGGATGTAGATGAGAGAATTGAGAGTGAAGTTGAGACCATGCTTTCTCTCCACAGAGAGAGAGAGAGAGAATTGGGTGTTTGGATAAACAAAGAGGAAATGGCGTTTTTCGATGGAGTGGAAAGGAGTTGAACCTGGTTCAGGTTATTGCGGATTTTTATTTATTGTTGTTTTCTTTTTGTCAATTTTTAAAATAAAATAATTTTTTCCTTATATTAATAATAGAATCTTGAATTTTTATTTTTATTTTTATTTCAAGTTAAATGGGAGGAGAAAATTTGGGGGGAGGTTTCACTGCAAATACCAAAACAAATAAAAGCTTAAAAAAACACACAACAATACAATTTCATACACCAACACCAATTCATCGCATCCGTACAATAAATAACAATGGAAATTGCATTAGGGGAGAGAACACACAAGGACATATCCAATGAAAAAGAACCTGGATGGTTGACAATTTCAGACCCATGTAATGTAAATGGTCAGAGCTACTCCAGGAAAAAAGTTCACAATACAAAGCAAAGACATGTTGTACAACTGCGATCATAAACAAAAAGGAATTACAAGAAATCCCATGAATTTCATCTTACAAAAATCATCATGCACCAGAATTCACTAATTCAGGATCCTGTTTTTTGTCTGATTTTAAGACTTTCTTGTGAAACTTTCACAGTGGACTCATCTTCTTTACCACCATAAGTCTCATCTGCCATGGAATCAACCTGATGCGTGCAACCAGTCACAAGTAACCTGTCCTATTGGCCTTCTTTCAGTTTCACAGTGGACTCGTCTTCTTTACCATCATATGTCTCATCTGCCATGGGATCAACCTGAAGAGCACAACCAGTCACAAGTAACCTGTCCTCTTGGCCCTCTTTCAGTTTCACAGTGGACTCGTCTTCTTTACCACCATATATCTCATCTGCCATGGGATCAACCTGAAGAGCGCAACCAGTCACAAGTAACCTGTCCTCTTGGCCTTTCCTCATTTTCACTGAAAACAAGAAACCACTTAACTTAGAACAATGCATGGTATAAGCCAACAATAGTACCCTAATTATCACGGTCATCCTTGCCTTGCCTCAATCAGATGGGGTTAAAAGCATCTACTATCACAAAATATAACAAAAAGCTGACGATTCTAACCAAGGGGATTCTATCCAAATCCTGCTTAATTCTAAACTTTCATTATATTTGATTTATTTGTACACAATTAGTATCAAGGGTCAAATTATTTCTATATCTGTTGGAAAAAAGACTACTAGAGTTGGAACCCCTATCTACAGTAAAGAAATTATTCATTTCATACATCCAATTTGATAGGGAAAGTCATGATAATTGTCAGAAACATGATAGAACCATTGTAACATCCTGAGGACATCAATGTGGTTTGCTGGACAAAGTAAATCAAAGATGAAGTGGAAAAAAGGATATATCCTGGCAATGTCTTTGAGGACATTAGTCTACTAGTTTCCTACCTTGCAGGTTACATCTCTTTACATGGTGGCATCTCAATTGTTGGCTTCACAAAAGAAGCAGGAAATATCAATCAACATGCATCTATAAACCCTTCCATGCTCATGTAAACTTAAAATGCATGCTGTTGCATAGAAGTTAGAAAAAATGGGCACTTGATAAGAGATACATGATTTATCACCGGAAAAACACAGTATGATGAGATATCACACAATGTAACAAAGACAACATAATATGATCTTTTACACACATCTTCTAAAGCACGAACCAAGGACACAATTTAGTAATATTACCACAGGAAGGGCCTTACCATCTTGAGGAGGCTGAGGGCGCGCAGAACCCTTCTTTCCGGATTCCTTTTTCTGTTCAGTATTGTGGTTCGGGTTGGGAACAATCGTTTCGTTCAGCTCAGGGCAAGTTGGGATGAGATGCCCTTTTTTCCGGCATATCACACATATCTGCAAGCAACACATCAAAACCAGAACATCACTATAAATTTGACTCCTAATCATAATAGAGCACCAACCCCAACTTCTCAAAAGATTATAATTAACCAATTTCTTCAAACAATAAGAAAAAACCCCAAAATTGATTCAAGGCACACACAACATTTCCATGATTAAACAAGACACGCAATATATAAACATGAGCATCCTTCTTTTCCAATTTATGCTAACTACTAGGAATTATTATCAACTTACTAAAGAAAAATAAAAATTAGATTCACCAATGACAAATAGAACCCACTTCAACATATTTTGGCCCTTCAACTTTCTTTGCCGCATCAATTTTCTTTGCCTCTGTGGTTTTGCCCTTGTTGCTTTTGAATGCTTTGGTTTTGCTCTTGTTGCTTTTGACTGCTTTGGTTTTGCTCTTCTTGCTTTTTACTGCTTTGAGTATGCTCTTGTTGCTTTTTTTGGTTTTGCTCTTGTTGCTTTTTACTGCTTTGGTTTTGCTCTTCTTGCTTTTTACTGCTTTGAGTATTGGCTTTGGCGCATCAACAGGGACTCTGGTTTTGCTCTTCTTTTTCTTCCTCTTCTTGCTTTTGACTGCTGTGAGTATTGGCTCTGGCTCCGCATCAACTTTAACTTTCTTTGCCGCATCTTCTTGTCCCGCCACACCAACTTGGGCTGCAACATCAACTTGGTTTGCCGCATCAACAGGGACTGTGGTTTTGCTCTTCTTTCTCTTCCTCTTCTTGCTTTTGACTGCTGTGAGTATTGACTCTGGCTCCGCATCAACTTTAATTTTCTTTGCCGCATCAACAGCGACTGTGGTTTTGCTCTTCTTTCTTTTCCTCTTCTTGCTTTTGACTGCTGTGAGTATTGGCACTGGCTCTGGATTTGCCTTTATTTCTGAATTCTGTAGAGCTTGCTTTATTACAATAGATTTTTGGGCATCAATAATGGGATTTCCATCAGCATCAACACAGATTGAGATTGGTTTCTGCGGGTTCTTCTTCTTCCTCTTCTTCTTGTTTACGTCTTTTGCGAGTGTTGGCTCTACTTTTGGGAGCAGTTCGGGATGCTCTACCTTTGGGAGGAGTTCTGGGTTTTTGTTCACCATTTTCGTCTTAAGCTGCCAATAGCAAAGGGGTTGCAGAGATTTTGCGAGGGTTTTCGTTTGGCGAGACAAATTGGGGCTTTGAGGAGCTGCAGAGTTGAGTATGCCAAAGACTTGGTTATGGGCGACCAAATGAGTTCCAACATCGCAAGGACAAAGGTTGGCATGACCCAACAAATAGGTCCATCAGAGCATCAAGGCCCATCAGCCAAACTTCATTTCTTTCAGTTGGATCTTGGCCCTAGGTCCAATAACTCAGAATCTCAGATGGCATACTTATAATTTAATTATGTAGCTGTTGCTAGGGCATCTCTAGCAACAGCTTCCAAAATTTGGTTAAATTTGATGACACAAGTTCATTAGAGCTGGCCACTTTAATTGTTTTCTAATGAGATTGAATCATTTAAGGGAGAGAGAGAAAGAGAACAAAATTTTGCGACTAGTCATATTTGGCTAGCAACTGTTCACAGAGTTAATTGTGGATGGCTAATCTGCTGGACTGATTTTTTGGAGGAGTTTCAGTCAAATATGTCATCTAACGTAATTTACAAGATGAAAAAAAAGAAAAAGAAAAGAAAAGAAGGGAAGTAAAAGAAAAAAAAGAAAAGAAGGGAAGTTTACTAATCCATAATTGGATTAGGATGAATTGAATTGAGGAGGAGTTTGATTGATGAGAATTAGATTCCAGATTCTTATTGAAGTTGTTTACTAAACCATATGGATTGAGGGGAGTTAGATTTTGAATTCATATTGAAGTTGTTTACTAAACCATATGAAATTGGAGTATGAGTGGTTCTAATTACTAAAATGTCCTCGTTGTTGAGTTAAAGTATATGGTAAACTTGGAATTTTGAAAATTGTATGAGGATATAATAGGTAAAAAGATGAATTCTTAATAGATTAGTTCTCCAGGAATTAGAATACCACTTCCACTCAAGAATTGAATTCCTCCAAAATCAGTAATTCAATTCCTAATTTTGTGTGGGCTCCACTTACTTTTCAATTCATTGATGTGAAGCTCGTAAGGTAGAATTCAATACCTTATGAGAATTCTAATTTCTGATTAGTAAACACACCATCCAAAGATATCTGTTAATTCATTAGACAAACTAAACGAGACATTGAAAGCTTTTGAACTATGGTTTTCTACTAACATATAAAAAATGTCAATTACATCAAAACCTGCCAGGAAGTAATCAAATCCCAACGAATAAAATAATTTCTGCAAATACTCAAAACCACTACAATCTCCAGCAGTACAGTGCAGCTGAACCTCATGACCACATGTAGAAATCAAGAGAGAGCTGGAGAAACAAATATTCCAAATCAATGTGGGAGACCTGCAAAGCTTTTCTCTGCATGGTTATGATCTTATCACCTTTTCTTCTTCTTGTTTTTACTTTATTCCAAATCTGTCTCATTGTGACAAAATCCGAAGGCCTGCTTGTAAATCCTCTAGGGTGATTGTTCTAAGTTCATCTGTGTCTATACAGTCAAAATTGAGCCTAAGGTCCAAACTTTCTCTAGCATTAACTAACATCGTATCCACTAAACCTCCATTCATCTCCTTACACTGCTTTTCTGTTGTCTCTCCTCGAATCAGTTCTGCAATAGCTTCTACACCGCAAGAAGAATGTAACTGAAACCCATACAACAAGCTTTCCTCTGTTTGATTGTTCATCTTGATATGGAGAATCTTTGCTAGGTCTTCGGAACTGAAGTCACTAAAATTGAAAAACTTTGTCACACGCCGGCAGAAACCTTCATTGGAAGCAATAACTCGTTTCATTGGTTCGCTATATCCCGCAAATATGACTACAATTTTTCCACTATCCATGACAGACATAATCTCTTCCAATGCTTCCAAACCATAGTCTTTATCGTCTGCCTTCTGCATAGGTATTAGTCGATAAGCTTCATCTACAAAAAGAATTCCTCCCTCTGCGTCTTTAATCTGTGCATAACATTATAATTAGTGTGTCACAGTAAAGTATTCGCATCAACCCTTACAAACTAGAACATAAATAATTTCAAAAATATCAACGTTTTACCTTCCTCCTAGTTTTAGGTCCAGTATGACCAACAAATTCCCCAACCAAATCAGTTCGCTGTACTTCTGTTACTTTGTCAGTAGGTAGAATTCCCACCATATGGAGTAATCTTCCAAGAATTCGAGCTACCATTGTCTTACCTGTTGATAACATTAACTATATTATACAATGACGATAATACAAGGATGTAACCTAAAAAAGCAAAAACGAAAAGGCAGAAACATTGTTATGATCCAATCATCCAGATTGAAACCACTGTAGGCAATGCTTACCTGTCCCAGGATTGCCAAGAAACGCCATATGAGGAGGTCTCCTTGTGCCAACTTTCAGCCCAAGGGCCTTACGCCTCTCATCCAAAAGCATCCCCTTTGCCCATTTCCGTAGTTGTACCTTGAGCTCATGCAAACCAACGATATTTGATAATTCATTTTCAAGTTCATCCATCTTAGCTTTAGTTTCGCTGCATGCTTCAATTGCTCTTCTCCTCCTCTGCTCTTCACAGTGAGACAGTAATAGTGCCTGCAGCTTTCCATTTTCATGGCCTTTTGAAAGGTGATTTAGGGGAGTCATACCCTCCTACAACAATTCGAAGAAAATATCATTAGCATTTACTTAGGTGCTATATTTGAGTAAATTGAATGTTGCAAGTAAATGCAATGAACTATACATCGTCCTTAGCACTGCAATCAGCATTGTACTCAAGTAATGTTTTGACAGTTGAGAACTCTTCTGCTCGAAGTGAGTACCACACAGCAAGGTGTAATGGTGTCATTCCATTCTGCATGGACAGAAGAAGAAGATTAAAATAAATTAAAAAAAAAAAAAAAAACACATTGACATAATAGTTAGAAATCTAAAACTTAAAAGAAACCGTATGATCAGGTGAAAGGCAATTCACATTTGCTTTGGCTTCTATAAAAGCACCATGAACAAGAAGCAACCGTGCAGCATCATTGCATCCATTCTTAGCTGCCATGTGCAATGGTGTTTCTCCATACTGCAAAGCTCAACATGTTTTAAATTGAATTTCAAAACAATTTGCGTAAGACAAAATTCTGATCCAGAAAGAAAACATTTTACCTACCATGTTCCTGGCTTCCAACTCAACCTTATCTGGCCCTTGCCAATCAAGAAGAAATTTAACTATCTCAGCCTTGTTGTAACCAGCAGAAACATGAAGTGGAGTTTGTGCCATCTGCATTTAGGGAAACAAATGATTAGCTGATAAAATAACCTAACCTGAACGTTACATTGAAGCATATAATAAAGAGCAAATAATAAAAGAAATGCCCTTCTGTTCTTTATAGCTTTACTAACAGGAACTTCAAATAAAACCTGCTAATCCTATCTTTCTTTACGCCTTTTTTAACTAAGCTTTCTCTGGTTGAAAAGGTTTATGAACTGGCCAAGAAGTGTATGCCTTTGAAAAACTACATAAAGCATGGGATCTCGTCTTCAATTTAGCCACACAGACAATCCATAACTGAAAGTACAATTGACTTCAATTAGTGGAGAAGAAGCTCGTTCCCACCACTACTGACAACCATGAAAAGAAACTCCCTTATCCATCGTCCAACGGTACACTTAGATCCAGCCCAATTCTTTCTCTTCATTACACCAAAACATCATATGGTACTTAATTCACCATATTCCACTACATTGCATTTGACAGACTCTACCAAATACATTTACGGAAAAAAAGGTCAGTGCTTCCCTTCCTTTATACAATGAAGTCTCAAGTTCCCCAACAAATTGTAACAACAGCCATATACAAATATAAGAAGATTGAAGAGCCCAAATCCTACATTAGGGTGGTTAAGAAACATGATCCAACGAGTGAAATTCACAAAATTTGCATAACCCACTTGGTAAACATTCCTAATGATGAGAATGACATAAAATCCATCAAACAAAATGCACCCAAATTTGCAAAATGTCAACTTTCAATACGAAGTTGAATTCTTGAAAATCCCATTTCGTGTATTCACACATACAAGAGAAAGAGATCTTACAACGGCATTTCTTTCGTTTAGAAGAGATGGGTTTTCCCGGAGCAGCTTCTGAAACCCAAGAAGGTCCCCAGACTGAGCGTAGCCATGAATGGTGACGGGCTTGGCAGATCTTGACCGTCGATCTGGATACCTCTGCATACCTCCCTCCCTCTGTACTTGTTGGGTTTTTGCTAGCTCTCCTCTTTCAGACAAAAGAAAGATGGTTGAAAATGAATTGAGAAAGACAAGGAGAGAGATTTTAGAGGGAGAGACTTTGGAGGTGTCCGAGTATGCGCGTCTATTTATTTTTCGCAATTATTATTTTTTGCTATTTACACTTTTAGCAGCTCCATTTTGACTTTCTTCCTCAACCCTCAGATTTTATTCATTTTATACTAACATCTTATGACCTTCATACGGAAGGGGTGGACACCTTATTATTTCAATAAATAAAATAAAATAAAAACCTTAGACCTCGTTAGAAATATTGCTCAGCGAGCGAAAAGAGAAACACTTGCATGAAACAGAATAATATTGTTTTGCTATCACCTACCAGTAACGCTATGACATGTTTGTTATCCCCGTTGCAACTAAGTTTTTCTTCGGTGAAAAATGGTCTTCTAATTATTCTAATTTAGTTTGTTTACAACATTATTCTAATTCGATATTTATTGTAATAAAAGATGTAAAAGGTTACACATAAACGTTCATGTTTTTTTTTTTTAGTTTTTTAAAAATTTCATATAAATTATCCCTAAAAAAGATTTGTAACTCGAGTATTAAATGACATTCACTCGTCACTCAAGGTCTGTTCGATTCCTTTACCCACACTATCACTTGCTCAAGGTCTGATACGAGTTAACTTTTATACAAATTTATAAATAAATTCAATTCTAGACATGTATTTATAAAAAAACTCAAACACTATTTAAACATAGAAACACACCCAAAATCAACAATTGTATATTTTTTGGATGTGTTTATAAATGGGTTTTGAGTGTGTGTAATAATGGGTTTTGGGTGTGTTTATAAAGTGTTTTAGATGTTGGGTTTTTTTTATAATTTCAGCTCCTATTTTGGGTGTTTTAGTGAAACTCCCTAAATTTTATGAGATTTTGAACTTCTGCAAATTCTCAAATATTTATTGGGGTATAGTTTAATTTCACTCGTATCTGCAGAAGTTCAAAACCTCATAACACCCAATAAATATTTGTATAAACCTCCTTCTCAATCTCTTATAAAAAAATAAATAACAAAATAAGGTAAGATTTTGGTAACCCAAGTCCAACAATGGTTTTGCATGGATGGTGCCAGCAAAGAAAATGCGATGAACGTGATTTGTGTTTGGTTAATTTTTTGAATTAGAATAATGCATTCATGATTACTCATTTCATTATCATAATCTTTGAGCACTAAACAATAATGTGAGACAACAATGTTTTACAATAAAATAAAGACAATAATGTGAGAGCACAAGCTGTAGTTCACTTTTGCCTTTTCCTAATTTTCTAATTTGGGTCGGGCTTAGACCGTGGTTGTGCCTAAGTCAAAGTAGAAAAAAGCTCGAACCATGCCCATTATACAAACAGGTTGGCCCAGTCTACCGACAGTATCTAAATGGGCCTGACATTATGGGCCCAATTTAGTGGAGTAATCCAAGGGCTGGCGCTTGCCAATTACAATACTCAATCAATGTTTAATGAGTACAAGACTCATCTCGATGTTTTAGCTTCCTAACCTGACCAACCCATAAGCGACACGATGACACAGACCGGCGACGGCACGTGTCACCTGATCACTAGCAGATGAGGTTGCTTCAACGTGTGGTCATCACGAACCTCCTTGGCTGCATCCCCAATGCTCCTCCTAAATCTCCCGCGAATATAACTAGATATTTTCTCTCAGCCAAATAAAAACAAAAAAACCAAACGGCTTTAGATAAATTTTTTAATTTAACTTATAATGTCTTTTCAAATTGAAAGAAATGATTATGTACAAGAGTAGTTGGAACACAAACTCACAAAAGATTGGAGCCTCACTTTGATGAACTTTCAGTCACTGTTTTATCTCCAATGGCCATGGTTGCAAGGCTTCACGTATGCCCACAGAGCTTAGAGCCCTTCAACTTCAAAGACTACCACAGAACCGGCCCAACGGTCATCATCGGTTCGGGTATTCGGCGCTCCGGTTCGGTACTGCCCACGGGGCGTAATGGGTTTTGCTTGAAGCAGTGCAGGTCGTTTAGGGGTGAGGATGGACGGGACGCGGTGGAAGAGAAAGAGGCCGAAAGTGCGGGAAAGCGTGGGAATTTGAAGAAGGGAAGTGGGATTTGGAAATCTTTGAGTTCTACTGTTTTGGGAGGTTTTGGTTTGCGTTCCAGAAATTCTGATGAATACAGGAAAGCTGTGGCCAAGTTGGAGGAGGTCTGTTCCTCGGTGAGTGTTGTTTACTGGTTTTTATCATTCTTCGATTTGATGAACGTTTGTTTGTGCTCAATCATTGTGATTTGGTTAGTTTGAGCACGTGTTTGTTTTCTTTTGTTGCTACAGTGAATAATTTACCAGTTTGGTTGCTGAGAAAATCCAAGGAAAGATAGTTGATTGAGATTTTGAATCTTGAAGCTTTCAGTGATTGGGGTCCGAGACAAATGGAAATGATTTTTCTAAATGGTTCTTCTGTTAATTGGGTTTTGGTTATTCATTTCTTATAAACGGCATAAAAATAAATAAAATGAAGTTGAGCCTCAAGATTTTGTCACTAAAAATTTAGAGAAAACAAGAACACAAAACAAAACAATCAGCTACCTAATGATAGGACTCTTATGGTTTATCTTGTTCTTAAGGCTTTTGAGATGCTTCTGAGTATCTAACCCTGCCTCTCTCTAAAACAATCAGGCTGCCGTACAAATTGGAAGATATATTGTGACCATGATGAGCACTGGAGTTATACTAGCAATTGGGTTTCAGTTGTCAGGTTGGAAAGCATGTTACTTATTTAGTTTTGTTATCTGTCCTAAAGCAATATTTCATATGCAGACCTCTAATTGTTGGGAAGTTTTGTGAAGGTGGAGACAGTCAGTTGAGTGAGCTAGTTTGGTATAGCTGGCTCGGAGGAGTTATTATTGGAACGATGATAGGAGCTAACATGGTTTTAGAGGAACACTGTCGAGCTGGTCCAAGAAATGTTGTCATTAGTGGAAGGTAGAAACTCACTCTTCTCTCTGCCTAGTTACAAAACGGATGCCCTATAATTGTAGTGTAATGAGGGGTGGTACGGGTGGAGGCTTTGTAATTCTATGTTATCACGAAGAATCATCTCGTATAATTGCAATATGGTTATTGTGGAAGGGAAACCAAGGCATAGGGCACATATATCATATATGATTGGTTTATGGTCATTCAGAATAAATAATAGAAAGAAAGAAAGAGAAAGCAGGCATGCTTTTATTCTTCTTTTCCCATTTACGTACTTGATTTTCATACAATGTCCGGATGAATTTTCCTTAAGAAAACCCCAATTCATATGAGCTTTTCATGTTGTTGTTTGTTTGATTGGCTGGTACAGTACAAGAGGACTTGGAAAAGCACTTGCTCGTGAATTTCTTCTTTCTGGAGATCGTGTGGTTGTCGCTTCTCGAAGGTGGTATTTGGATTATGGTATCTGTTTGTATATAGACTTATCAACATCTATGTACCATGGTTATGGTGTTATAAATACTACTACTGCCACCTCAACCAATTACTGAATCTTGTCAACGCAGCCCTGAGTCTGTACAAGCAACTGTCAGAGAGCTCGAGGAAAACCTACGGGAAGGTATGATCAGTGCTGGTGCCTCCTCTAAGCACCTGGCACATGCAAAAGTGGTTGGCATAGCATGTGATGTTTGTGAACCTGGTGATGTGCAGAAACTGGCAAATTTTGCTGCTAGTGAACTTGGTAATATTGACATTTGGGTAAGCTTTTGAAGCTCTCTAGTGGATGTTTTATCACTTTGCATTTGGTGGTAGTGTGTTTAGATATTTTTTAAATTTATTCACCAGCCTTGGACTTCATGTGCTGTACTCTGATTATCCATATATTTTAGCAGCTTCAAATCTTTTACCATCTAATTTGTAAGCCCCTTGACAGATAAACAATGCTGGCACAAATAAAGGATTTAGACCCTTGCTTCAGTTTACTGACGAAGACATTAAACAGGTATTTGTAAATAAATGGCTCTTATTGTTGTTAGTGTTAGATGTAGCATCCAAGAGGCTTTATCATCCCCCCAACCCCAAAAATGCAAATGCAGCTGCACTACAATGCTCCGGAAACATTACATTGTAATATATAATCATTTCAAACTTGTTCAACTAACTTAGCTCATACCTTCTAGATTGTCTCGACAAACCTGGTTGGGTCTATACTCTGCACTCGAGAAGCCATGCGTGTAATGATAAATCAGCCTAAGGGTGGGCACATATTTAATATGGACGGGGCAGGCTCTGGGGGGTCAAGTACCCCTTTGACAGCTGTGTGAGTGCCTAGCCTTGTTAATGGAGAATAGCTTTTTCTTTTGTGGGAAGAGACTGAACTGTCACGTATGTGTTTGAAATTGTGATTTCTGATAGATGACAATTGTACATTGATACTTATGTTATTTTATCACCTGTACCTTTAGCTATGGGTCGACGAAGTGTGGTCTTAGACAGCTTCAATCATCACTTTTAAAGGAGTGCAAGCGGTCTAAAGTAGGAGTGCACACAGCATCTCCGGGCATGGTTCTTACAGATCTGCTTCTCAGGTACACTTAATGACTTGTTCTCTGTGGTCCATTTCTTCTCTTGTTTCACTTATATCAATTCACTAGGCCTGTTGTTAAACGAGAATCTTCACCCTCATGAGCTCAAATATAGAAAGTGTCCAATCACCGGCTCATCATTAAATGAGTTTTCCCCTGCAGATCATACTGCTTACTGTGTAAATGGTGTTTGTTCATGCTAGGATCTGATGAATTGTTTATGGCTTGTTTGCAGTGGCTCTTCTTTGAAAAATAAACAAATGTTTAACTTCATATGCGAGCTTCCTGAAACAGTAGCTAGAACTTTAGTTCCACGGATGCGGGTAGTAAAGGGGTCGGGGAAGGCCATCAATTACTTGACACCACCTAGAATTTTACTTGCTTTAGTAACTGCATGGCTTCGACGTGGTCGATGGTTTGATGACCAGGTAATTTTTTGACTTTTGTTGAAGTGTAAGATATGCTATATGTTACCGTCCATGCAATGTGACAAATAGAGTTCTTCTGTTGAATATGATAGCAGCAGGAAAATCGTACCCCAGATGCTTACATTTGGATATGGTTCTTAATTTACACGTTGGAAACAAGCAAAAACTGATTCTGGTATAATTTGCAGGGCAAGGCATTATATGCAGCAGAAGCAGACCGACTTCGGAACTGGGCTGAAAACCGCACACGTTTTTACTTTACGGATGCAATGGAGATGTACACAGAGAACACTTGGGTGTCTGTCTTCTCACTCTCGGTTGTTTGTGCATTCATAATTCTTTCTAGCACGAGCAGCAACTTTCCTGGTACTTAAAGATTCCCCTTATACTTCAAATCGAAACCGCTAGCACAAGCAACAACTTTCAGGCATATGCTATTTGTGAAGGACTAGCTGCCGTGCTGCCATGCTTGGGACAACAACCTAGGCAACAGAAAGTTACCGATGGAATGGCGGGGTACCATTTTTTTACCCTGCATCGGTCGGACACTAAACTTTACATATTCATTGTAGATCATCATAAGCCTATTTGACATTTACACATCGTTTACAAATCCAAACCGTGTGTGCTTTCTATGCAAAACCATGTAAAGACTTTAAGTAGTTCATGATAATATTTGATTCCAAGTTGTACATGCCAAGAGTAGCAGCTTAAATCGCTATGATGCACCATAAAATTAGTTTTGCCATTCTCTCTCTCTGTGTTATTTCCTATGGGTTTCGGTGTATATGGTCGAAACTCAACCAGAAAATCAGCTTTAAGTTGAAAAGTTAACACTCCTGATGGTTGTAGCTAGTATGGGTTTTGTTCAATCAGATGGGGTTTACAATTCAGTATGTCAAGCATAATCTCAAGATCAACGTCTCCTCTATGTTAAAAAGATTATAAAGGCAATCTTGCTAGGGATTGGAGCCAATGCCCAAGATCAAGTATCGAAATTGAAATTGAAAATATTGTAAGGCTCTGCGCATCTAAGCCCATAAATAGGTTGCAAAATATAGAAGAAAAACCCTACAATACTCAAAACTCTAGAAGGAAAAGAAAAAATCATTTGACTTCTCAAATGAACCGAATACCATGCAAGCCTCAAAAAACCTTAAAAATTATAACACTACCATCATAGTTTTTTTCGACTATGAATAATGAACCAAAGACTTGTGTCGTCTTTGTGCCGTAGCGGAAAATGCGGTCCTTCTAGCGTTACTCTTGAGCGAGCAAGGGGAAAGAGATTGTTTTGTCATTGGAGTCATATAAATCCAACAATAGATTAAGTGTTCACACACACACCTAATCAATGATTGAATCACGCCGTCTTCGTATTAACAAACAATTGGAAGGCAACAGGCCATAAATCATTTCCTTATTTGACAAAAATACATAGAGTTACACATAAAGAATAAATATAATAAAACAGATAGCTGGATATTGAGAGAGAAGAATATTTTGCCTTTCTCTCACTTTAGTCAAAATAGAAAAAGGCGAATGTCATGGCACTAATTAGGAGAGAAGCTATCAATTACAATACAATACTACCATCGCCATGTGAGAGGCCACGACAATTGCACCTCCTCTCTCATTCAAATTCCAACCCCACTTTATTAATCATTTTTATTATTGTTTTTGTTCCTTTTATTTATATAATTTCAGCTTTTTCTTTTTCTCTTTTTTTTTTTTTTTTTGAATTTAAAATATGACATTGTCAGGTAAAATGTCCCTGGTCTTGACTATACTGCTGCCTTACATGTTTGAAAAATGAACATATATGTCTGCCTTCCACGTCCACCAGCTCATCACCCTATCTTGAAGCATTTGCCGGCAGTTTGCTTCTCTTCCCCCTTAAATTTCTTTTACTACCAACTTATTCTTTTTATCGGTGTCATATGGTTTCCCTAACGAAACACCCTTCATTATATTTTATAAGTAACTGGTTGGCTTCCTCACACTTAATTTTATCACAATCAATGCATATTGTATGACCTCTCCATCAATAAAATTCGTATAGATGTATAAGAGTCGAACGCAATGCATTGTGACGAATTGCACTATAATTAAGGTGCGTGCGACAAAAGATCCAACTCTGTAAAAATGATTGAGGATTTCATTTTCTTTCTAAAGCACATGAATATGGTACAATTATGACCTGGGATTTGAATTGAGAACTTAAAACAATGTATTAGAAAAGCACCACATACTCAGAGACTTAGAGGGAAGCTTCCAAGGTTCAGACAAATAATGTCCACGGCATGGTGTGTGTTTGTCTATAATCCTAAAATTAATTAAACATGAAATAATCACCGGCAAATCCAGTGCAATGCAGACCAAGATGTGATAATAATATTGACCCAAGTGCTACTAATTTTTTTTTGGAATTTGACTTGGCTAAAAGCCGCCTCCGCCGCATGCCTGCAATTTTTGTGCTACCTCAACTGCACACGAATATTGGACCATTTCCTGCTACACTCCACGCATGGATATGGACAATTACTCTCTCTCTCTCTCTCTCTCTCTCTCTCTCTCTTGCTTATTAGGGTTTTTCTTTTCTGGGTAAACCTCCTCTTCTTGGGTGGTTTTACTTTAGACATGCGTGCTGCTTATTACACTTGGCTTCTCTTACTTCGACCGTTCAAATTGTTCCATATGACTTAAAAACAATGCATAGAGATGAATAGTTAATTACAATTCATCAACTGCTCAATTTAGAAGAGGATTTAGAGTGCATTAAATAATTAATTGGAGTTGGCATAACTCTTTTGTGTAGGAAACATGTCAACTTGGTCGTATATGGTTTAGCTGTTGGTGTCCAGCTGGTGTGTGGCTTTTACTTAGAGTAACAGCTACTGCCTAGAGCCATGCAAGGCTTAAAATTTCAAATCAGATCAATTAGGATCACCTAATCCCTTGACTTATCATAATTTATTGCCTTCTCTTAAGCTATCTGGGTAGCGTTATTGATAGGGTTAATTTGTCTGTACAGCTCATTTTCATATTGCATTCCCTTGCTTGAGCCATAATTAAATTATATATATATGGAGGATTTGAACATGCTTCTAATAAAAGCATTTTCAGCAAAAGTGCTTAATTATGACTTTATAACTATCACCGAAATCACCCAAAAACAGTATTATGATGTAAGTTTGATGAGACTCTACACTTTTCATTTTCATCATCAAATAATATCTAGATTGATTTTTTTTTTTAAAATTTAGATATATATTATTTTGCTGACATAATTAACCTGTCTTACCTAATTAGGTTTAAAATTTGGAAAGCAACACTTAGCAATTGTGACAAGGGAAGCAGCAATTTTGGCCTATGTATAGTGTATGGCATCAGCAAAGATCAACCCAAATTTGTCTCATAGCTCTCTCTTTGTTCCTTTCTTGCTTGGAAGTTTCAGGATTTTGGTTTTCTGTCTAGAAGTTTAGGCTCAGTTTAAACACCAAGTGAGCCAATCCAAGCGTCGAAATCTGACTGGATATAAGCTTAAATTGAACAGAATCTATCCCACTATTGCTAAAACATGATAAAATATTATCAACTACTATTACCAAACCCTCTTTCTCGGGTAAAAAATGCAATAATTTGTTTGTGTGGAATCTTATGAACTTTTTACTTGGTTTCTTGCAACCTCCTATATTAAAATATTTCTTTTGTTTTGCACCATAATTTCCTTATTTGCCTTGATTTAGGAAGCTTGTACATTGTGAGTGGGGTATAGTTCAGTTGGTTGAGTTCTTCTATATCTATTCATGTTGCGGACACAAGTTCGAAACTCTCAAGCACCCAATAAATATTTATGTAAACTCCCCTCCTCAAATTTCTTGTACGTTACAAGATTTTTGTTGGCACATTCATGGTTAGTTACGAAAAAATCTAACCCCCAAATTAGTTAGAATTGACACCCTTCCCAATTGGTAAATGCCTACCAATTTTTCAATGCGAATGAGTGTGCATGTGGTGTGATTGATTTATAAAGAAAAATTGGTAAAGTTTGATCACAACAAGTGATAATACTCTATTTTTTAAATACATTATTTTACAGGAGATAATGTCAAGGATAATTCAACGTGTTTTTCTTCCTTGGCTAATTGAAGGTGTTCATACTTGGCCTAATGTCTAGACCAGAAACAAGTGTAAAATAAATAAAAAACCCCAACAAAAATATATTTATTATATTAATTTTTTTTCGGTTACATATAAAATGGACTTTTACATAATAAAAAATTTGTGTAAATTAATTAATTTGGACCCATGATATACGAATATCGTGCAAGAACGATTGGAAAAAAAAAAAAAAAAAAAAACACAAACGCCGTCCCCAATTCACCAACCAAACAAAAGAGAATAAATCACAAGCCGAATGAGTAAAAGACGGAGAAACGCGCGGACTAATCGTGTAGGCCCCACGCGGGCCCCACACGAGGAAAGAGAGAAAGAATACCTCCTCCCTTCAGAGGCTCTACTTGGTCTCAGCCAAAAGGCAAGCTGGTGAGTGGTGAGCTCTCCCCACAGCACAGTTCCAGCGAAGCAGACGATGATGATCTCTGCCTCTCTCCTACCACCATGTGATGAAGTCTGATGACTGAAGAATTGTTTGTTTTGGAATGAAATAGAAAATCAGAGAGAGAGAGAAAAAAAAAGCAACAAAAATACCTTCCTAATTCCGAAACCAAAAAAGCAAACTCTATCTGTCTGTGTTTGTCTGCCCTCTCTCGTACTCTCTCCCTCCATTAACTACTAGACACTCTCTCTCTCCTTCTCTCTCTTGCCCTCTCTCTTCTTTTGGAGAGAGAAAAAGGAGAAAGCTTTTCATTCAGCGGAGCAAGAAACGACTGTCTATCAGCTACCCATTTCTTTCGATACATCTGATTTGTAGCAGCAATGTCGAGCCCACCTCCGGGGACAACTCCGGCGCCTTCTTCGCCGCCGGCGACGAACACAACCACACCACCAGCAGCTCCGGCACCGTCTTCGCCTCCGGCGACCAACACCACCTCACCACCCCCGCCATCTCCGACCGCACCGCCTCCATCGACTCCGAATGCGCCACCACCATCGACCCCGAGTGCACCACCACCAGCCACTCCCTCATCACCTCCACCACCATCACCAACCACACCCACACCGCCGTCGACCACTCCTCCGACCTCTTCGGCCTCTCCGCCGCCGCCTTCGGGTTCAACATCCCGCTCTCCTCCTCCGCCGACTAGTTCGGGCACTACGCCTTCGACCCGGAGTCCTCCGCCTCCAAAATCGGTTTCTCCGCCTTCTCCGCCATCGTCATCGAACTTAGATTCGGGGGTTATAATCGGGATTGCCATTGGGGCTGTGGCGATCTTTGCGGTGCTGACTATCTTCTGCATTTTTTGCACTAAGAAGAAGAGGAGGAGAAGGGATGACGAAAACTATTATATACCTCCCCCGCCGCCTCCCGGGCCTAAAGGTATCAGCTTTCTTTGTTTTTTGAGATTTTGTGATCTGGTTTTGGTACCTTTTTTTTTGTTTGTGTTTTGGGGTAAGTTTTAGATTCGGTTTCATTTGGACCATTTTGATCACTGTGTATGCAGAAATGGTCTTTAGCTAGATTTTGTGGGTTTAGAGGAGCCCGATGGATCTGGTCATCGTATAAATTTATAAATTCAATTTTCCACATTTCCCCCTCCAATGTTGCCATCGTTTCGCATTGCAATGATTTTTGTTTATAATTATCCCAATTGGTGATGACTTCTGCTTGTGTGATTGTAAGGATTAACATGAAGACCTGGTGAATCTGGTAAAGCATGCTATATTCAGGGGTTATGCCTTGTGTCCTATTTCATGGTCATTATGTATCGTGTTATGCATCAAGTAGAAAACTTCCAACTTATAAATACTCTGACTTGAATTCCGAATCTCACTCTCAAATCTTTGAATATCAATCACTCCTTCACTCTCGAAAGAGACATTGGATTCTTTTTAACATTTCACTTGGATTAAAAGACTCATGGTGTTTTATGGTTGCCTTTTTGTTTTTGTTTCTATGACTTATTATTTTATTCCAGTTTTGTTTGAAAGAAGACATTTTCTGAGGAAGTTTTTTTGTACACCTAAAAATTTGCGTCTGACTGCCCAGGAACAAAAACATATCATTGCTGTGGATTATCCAGATGGATGGTAATACTGATTTCCTACTGTTGTATTTTTCAGATGACCCATACGGTGGTCCACCACATCGGTGGCAACAAAATCTTCCGCCTGCAGAGCATGTAGTCACAATGATGCCAAAGCCATCTCCTCCACCAGCTCCAGCATCACGTCCGCCATACTCACCACAGAGTGTTCCCCCACCACCACCACCACCTTTCACAAGCAGCAGTGGAGGTTCTGGTTCCAATTATTCAGGGGGTGAAACTCCAGTCCCACCACCTCCACCAGGCTATACCTTGGGTTTCTCTAAAAGCACATTTACATATGAGGAACTCGCATTAGCAACAGAAGGCTTCTCGGATTCCAATCTCCTTGGACAAGGTGGATTTGGATATGTACACAAAGGAGTCCTGCCGAATGGGAAGGAAGTGGCAGTCAAGCAGCTAAAAGCTGGAAGTGGGCAAGGGGAACGTGAATTCCAGGCAGAAGTTGAAATTATTAGCCGTGTACATCACAGACATCTTGTTTCACTGGTTGGGTATTGCATGACTGGATCGGAGAGACTACTTGTTTATGAATTTGTTCCAAATAATACTATGGAGTTCCACTTACATGGTAATTTTTTTTTTCTTTTCTGCACACATGATTGAGTTTATGATGATAAACATCTTTATTTTAATCAAAAGTAAAACAATGAATTTAAATAGTCAAGTTGATAGACGGTTGCTTGATTGTTATACGGTGAACTCTCATCCTTAGTGTTATGATTTTCCATCTGTGAATGTGAAGTATGCGTCTATAGAATTTAGGTTATGATTTGGTGATATTTACCATTATAATGTTGGTTCATACTTCTGGTTACAAGGATCTGATAGACTGTTCGTATTGCAGGAAAAGGACGACCTACCATGGATTGGCCCACCAGACTGAAAATTGCTTTGGGATCTGCAAAAGGACTAGCATATCTTCACGAGGATTGTAAGCTCTCCGTGTCCGTGCACACACAGAAATGCACTTGGAAAAGAATCACTTTAAATAGTCTTTGACATCATAACTTCAGATTTTAGATTGTAATAATCTGTACATGCATGCAGGTCATCCTAAAATCATTCATCGTGATATCAAAGCAGCTAATATACTTTTGGATTTCAAGTTTGAGGCGAAGGTATGGACTGTCAATCGATTTTCTTGCTTCTTTCCAAAATTTACAATTCTTAAAATTAGTGTTAGTTCCTGAATGGCAAGTTATTGGCTCCCTGAGTTTTGTTCTTCTTGATGTATGGCCGGCTATTACTTAGCCTTGGAAAGTTGGTGCTTAAATTATTTTGAATGAGATATATTACGCTCAAATTTGATCAGTTCTAGGTGATTATATTAAAGTTTATTGGTTGTGGTCATGTCAAGGAGTGTTTAGATTGAGATTCACCATCTTTGTCACAGGTTGCGGATTTTGGACTTGCCAAGCTGTCTTCGGATGTTAATACTCACGTTTCCACCCGAGTGATGGGAACTTTTGGGTAAGACTCATTTCTTTCATATTAAAATTGCCAGTGGAATTTGATATCATTATGATTTTAGTTTGAGATTGACCCAAAGTAGGACCAGGATTTTTTTTGTTTCCATCTGTTCCAAAATGTCTCTTGCTATGCTTGAGCTGATTCTCTCTTTCTAGTTATTGTTTTTCATAGAACATATTTATTCATGATTGTGTTGAACACCCAAACTGTATGCAATCATATGTATATGGTCATGTTGTCAATCCTTGTTGCTTTGCTATGATTGAGAGGTCTCAGGTTCTCAAGATTGTTGTGAATGTTGTTTGGTGTGATGATGAGATGTTCATCTTCGTTTAGCTTGTCTAAATGATCTATCGTGATATATCTGCATTGCTTAGTATATGTATACACTTATTATTCATGTTCTTACATGCTCGCTACCATCAGGTATCTGGCTCCAGAATATGCTTCAAGTGGAAAACTCACAGACAAGTCAGATGTTTTCTCCTTTGGGGTTATGCTTTTGGAGTTGATTACTGGACGCCGGCCTGTTGATGCATCTCAAACTTTCATGGAGGATAGTTTAGTAGACTGGGTGAGTGATAACTTGCTTTGTCTGTGAACTGCTTTCTTGATCAAGATTTCCCCCTTTTGGCTTTTATCATTTGGGTTTTGGGTTGCTGTAGTATCATTGGTATTTATAGAGAGTGTGTTGTGGCATCGCAGGCAAGGCCTGTGTTAACTCGAGCACTGGAAGAAAGAAACTTTGATGGACTGGTTGATCCTAAGCTGCAGAATGGTTATGACCCCAATGAGATGGCTCGCATGGTTGCTTGTGCTGCAGCTTGTGTACGTCATTCTGCACGGCGTCGGCCTCGAATGAGTCAGGTAAATTTTCTTCAGTAAGAGCTTATGCTTTCACGTTCCTCGTGTGCTAATGCAAGTTCATATCCTCTGTATGTGCAATTATTGAAGTGTCTTCTGACCAATATTTTCTTGATACATGCAGGTTGTCCGTGCTTTAGAGGGAGATGTGTCTTTGTCTGATCTCAATGAAGGAATCAGGCCCGGGCAGAGCAATGTCTATAGTTCATATGGGAGCTCAGACTATGACACAAGCCAATACAAAGAGGACATGAAAAAATTCAGGAAGATGGCACTGGGAAGCCAGGAGTATGGTGGTAGCAGCGAGTATAGTGCACCCACCAGTGAGTATGGCTTGTACCCGTCTGGCTCAAGCAGCGGTGAAGGCCAAAGCCGCCTAACCACCCGAGAAATGGAGATGGGAAGGATTAAGAAGAACAGTAAAGGTTTTAGTGGAACCTCTTGACACAGCCAATGCACCAATTTTCCTGTAAAAAGCTACCCCCCCAATTTTCTTACATTGATTTCAAGAACAACGTGTTTATCACCAATTATATCTATTTTTTTTTTCATCCATTTGAACTATCGGTTTTACAGTGTACTTAGGAGCGCTTATACACCACTAAACAAATAATCTTATCCAATTCTTTTATTTGTGGCTTAATCTTTCTTCTTTTACATATTAAGCATCACATGAACATGCGTGCATGTTTTTGGGTTCCATTTACTTTTCTAAAAGGTTTGCTCAATTTTTGTTCATCATGAAAGTCAGACACAAAGCCAATTTTTCCGACCCTAGTGGCTAGTGCCTAATCGTGTCGCGGCCAGCATGTCCAATACAGAAAAAGCTGTATATCTCTGACAAAGTGAAACATAGTCTTATCTTTTTTCGGTTGAAGAAGAAGAAAATGCCCACCAGCCCATGCTCCTTGGCTGCTCGTGCTGTCTTGCACATGCGCCCCTTATTTTATGACCCTCATCAGTTGGTGGGGACTGGGAATAGGGGACCTCTCTGCTAGTTCGAATTTGGCAAAATACAACTCTGTTCATAACAAAAATCCTCGAATTTTAATCAAGTGCATCGGAAATTTGAATGAACACTAATAATTTGTATGTGCAAAAATTTGATTGACTTTTTTTTCCTTTTTTTTTCTTTTAAATATTTTTTGCAATGGAAAAGGATATGAATTTGAATGTTTTACGTTTGTTTTCGAAATTCTTGTCTGATACTCATCATTAACATGAATACAAATTGACTATAAAATCCAAAAATTCTTCTATCAAACCCTGACAGATACAAAATCGTTTCCTGTGGTGCTGACAACAAGACTCTTGAATTAGTGAAGTGATGTTACAAAGAAATCCTCTGGTAGGTGTTGACAGTATTATAAGAACAATGCTACAAGAGATAAAAGGCCTCAGGAAAAAAAGAAAAAAAAAAAGGGCTACTAATCATCCGGAACTATAGATTAGAAAACCGGCCAGAGCCAGATCCTTTCCTTCGCCGCCGTCGTTTCTGTCGAATTCTCCAAAAGCTCAAAACTAACAAAATACCTACAATAGCAGCAAAGTAATTTAAGAGTAAACGACATTTCAAAACATGTAAACATTTCTTTTGACGAATTGGAAAAGTCAATGATCATTTACCAGTTACAGCAATTATTGCAGGAACAAGCCAATGACTAGGAACAACCACAGGCATATCAAGCTGCAAAAAGGTTTAGAAGAAACTCTCAGCATTATTTACCATGTTATAGTATTGTAGTAAGAGAATAACATGAGAGAGAATCATTTTCTAATCGAAGTATGAATCTTTCATGAACCATTCGTTGGCTTACCTCATCCCCATAGAACAGGCCGAAGTACCTGTTCCCCAGAGAATCACTTCTATTTTCCCCGAGCAATTTGGGATGCTTCAAATTGGAAGTATCGACTGTAGAATTTAAACCTCTATCCAAGTCAACTACAGAATAACCAGGTAATCTTCTGTTTGTTCCCCTGATCTGTGAACTGTAACCTTTAGTCCCCCAGATTTCAAATACAGAGTCACTCCCACAGATCACTTCCTTTCCCACAACAGCAGAATATGTAGAGAAATTCACATCCGTTCTACGGGACGGTAATTGGTTGTCTTCCACATATAAAGGTGATTTTTGTTTAACTGAGTTTGAGAAAAGCACAGGATCTTTGATGTTCCCACCGGTAAAATCTAATATTTTCCTCAAGAGCCAATAACAATTAGTTACCATATGACTGCTGTCCAAACAGTTGGAGTCTCCATAGACTACAACACGACCTTCACCCATCTCTAAAAGACCAAGAATGGGAGAATCTGCCTGCATTTGTCAATAGGCACCATAATCAAAATCATGTATGAATCATGATTGAGTTTAATTATCAAAATGGAAATAACTGCATGCCTGATATTCTAAACGTCCTGCACGTGGTTAAATCAACTTTTGGTTCAAGGAATATTGCATAATTTTGTGTGTGTGTGTGTGTGTGTCTGTGAAAGAGACAGAGAGAGGAAGAGTCTCATTCAAGTTGAGACATGAAAAAGGAAAAGAAAATGTTGAATGAGTAGCATTCCTACTTACCGTGGTCATCTCAGGAGTCCGAAGTACATTCTGAGTGGCCCCACTCTCAGAGCTATCCAGGAAAGGGAACTTGTGCACATAACCACCTCGTGGAAACCTCACTATATCTGTTCCAGATGCATACCGACTATGCTCACCATTAATAGAAAAATCGCCATTTAGAATCTTATCTCCAAATGCAATCCCAAACGGAGCCAAAAGGTCATTCAACGCTGGAACATTTGCGCCTCCAGTGACTGGAGTCCACCAGCTTCGTGTGTTATCATCAAAGAATCTCATCTTCACCATCGTGTCCACATTATACCATTCAGAAAACACAGCCAACCCCAGTCCAGAATTAAGAACATCATCCCGCAGTTTATCAATCTCCTCTTGAAAGTACTCTTCTTCAAGATCTACCAGAAGAAGTGTTCCATACCGGAGAGCGTCAAAGCAAGTAAAAGGCGAACCAAGTGTTTCCACATAATACCCAGCATCTCGTAACATGTTGAACATAATGTGAAAATTTGTATGCAGGTGATCCCCATGCCAGTCAAGTATGTCATTACGAACATCCAAAGAGTCTCTAGGGATATAACCTGGAGGGTATTTAATATTGTGAAACTGATCCCACAAAACTCGTTTTGATCTTGGTGGAGTAGGGACAACCTTCAATTTCAACTGAAGCACACAAGTACTAATCCTAATATCCTTTTCTCCTTGAGCTGGAGGACTGTATACCCTAAGAGTAACATTGCCTCCAATCTCTCCAGAAAATTGTGCACCTTCTTCCTTAATTTGCATGTGAAGCGCTAAATAACCAGTCCAAGGCCAGATAACTTCAGAATAAGTAAAGTGAATGCTTAGAAGATTCCCTACTTCATCTAAAGGATGCCATGTGGGTGGACTTTCAACATAGCCGATTACACCCATCCCATTTAGAATGGTAGCATTAAAGATAATAGGCATGGCACCTGCATAAAGCGGTTGACGACAGAAGGGCCAGGAGTAAGGGCAATCTGTATAATCGAGAGTACTTGGGAAGATGCTGGCACGAGGTTTGTAACTCTTAAGGATTTCATATGATTCTAACCTGACCAAAAAGTCAAAACTTAGAACTGAAAACCAGTAATACCAATGCTATACAGTAAGAATAACCGTAAATGAGATCAGTACAAAAAAAGTAAAGGGCCTATAAATCAGGAGAACTTACAGATCGACCCTGCCTGCACCTTGCTCATACATATTCGGACCAGAAAGCTTCGCAGCACCCTCAACCAATGCTTGTTTCATGCTTGCCGGATTTAAAGTGTCCTTCCTACTGCTCTCAGGGATAACACTCACAAGCAGGCATACCATACCAGCAACCACAGGACTTGCCACACTAGTGCCAGATAAGCTTTTACAGCCAGTACTGATCCTAGATCCCATAATGTCCCGTCCATATGCGACTACATCTGGCTTCACCCGACCATAACTGTGCAGAGAAAACTTAAAAAGTTAACGTTAACATAGCTTGTACGGCCCAGGGAACAACAAAGGATTGAATGCCTTAAGATCACTTTAAAAACCTTGTAAAGATCAGAGCACCAAACACTAGAAAATATACAGCACTATTAGTCTCTTAAAAAAAGGCATAACCATGGGAAAGGAAGATAAAAATCGCAATAAGTGGTACGAAGGAAAATATATTAGATTACCCATGAGGCATCTCCCAAGTACTCATGCCACGTGAAGAAAAAGAAGCAATGTGATCACTGTAGTCAATGCCGCCAACACCAATGACATCACTTTGGTCTGCTGGATTGTTTAGAGTTCCATAAAGCGGTCCATCATTTCCAATTGCCGAAACCATAATTATATTGTTTGCAGTTATTTCCCAAACCTGCGAGCAAATGCAGCACAAATTTAAGTTCCACACTTCAATTGCACAACATGTATGATATATGCCCACACATGTTTCAATGCAGAACCTAGAAGTTGATAAACCACCACACTAAAAGGTTCTTTATGAAATACAGAAAATTAACCAAGGAGCCTTACCTTCTCTACAAATGGGAGGTCCAAGTAATCAGGTCCACCTATACTTAGATTTAACACGTCCATATTGGTTGCAATGGCATAGTTGAATGCATCAAGGAACCATGATGTGTATGATACCTGCAATAAGCTGAACACAGGCTTCTCATAATCTTGCTAAATTTGATTAACCAAATGAAACACCATGAAGCGAAGTATTTCAAACTATGGCTTGAATACAAAGTTCTCTAAATCTTGCTATCAATGACTTTCTTTTTGCTTTCAATGATTTTCTTTTGAAAAGATAGTCTATATCATTCTAGTCATAATGCCATATCAATAAATCTTCCAATGTCCGATGTCATTACCTGTGCATCTGTAAACACACGAAAAGCATAGATCTCTGTATCAGGAGCAAAACCGAGACACTCTGCATCTACACCAGCAATAACACCAGCAACAAATGTCCCATGTCCAAGATTGTCGTTTAATGTATCTTCATTGGTCCAGTTTGTGCGCTCCTGCATAATTGCTCAAAATTGAAAACCGGCATAGCACCGAGATTTTTTAATTTAAGTTTTATAAGCAAACAGAAAAATATAAGGCAAATAACAGTGACTAAGTCTGACTACAAACATCCACAAGGGGAAAAGACTCGAGCTTCTTTTCCCAGAAAACAGTACCTTAATATTACGAAAATGTGGGTGATTTGCTCGAATGCCAGTGTCAAATATGGCCATTTTGACTTTTGTACCAGTATACCCCTTTTCCCAGAGAAAATCCGCTCCAAATAATGAAGTAACTTGAGATTTCTGCAAGAATTAAATTACGAGAGTTAATTAAAAATAAACACTGCTGGAACTTTCTCCAAATTTAATTTCAAAATGGCCAGTTTTTCACACAACACACACACACACACACACACACACACACACACACACACACACACACACACACACACACACACACACAAACACACACACACACACACAAAC